TACGTTATGAACAGAACTATGATATTTTAAACATACTGAAATACTTTAGCCGCGGAGTGGTGTTTCTGATATCAGTGAGCGAGGAGTGGAGCGGGAGCGGGAAATGGTGAACCCGGAGCGGAGCTAGAGCGGAGTGATTATTAAATGCTCGGAGCACGGAGGGGAAATTGTTGCCGCTCCACTCCGCTCTCATATTCTGTTTCCCTCCCAAATCAGTGTACAAGCAATTTAATTAAAGTTTATAAATATCACAGTTAAAATCTTTTGTTTTGGTAGCACCACAGTGAATTTAAATACAAAAAAAAAATACAATGACTGATCAAAAATAAAATGGAATAAATAAATAAATGAGAGTTTATTTTTAATCAGAAAAAAAAATGCTATTCCATTTGGGGGCAATAGTGGCACACTACATTTTTAAGCAATTTAAATTAAAGTTTTGTTTGTTTGTTTATGTTTAAAGGACAGGAAAATGTATTTTTTTATCATAAAAAAAACCTCATCTACTGAGACCTTAAATAGCTTAAAAGCATACTTTAAGTAATGGAATGCATAAACATAACACTATTGAAAGCTGAAAAGAATCCTTCCAGAGAAAACCATAATTTTCTATAATATTGTTTTTAGGGGAGACAGTTTGCTGATAAAGCCATAAATCACATTTACCACACTACACTGTATCAGACAGCATGTCTGTTCAGCAGAAGCAGTTCCACCGTGATATCAAAATGACCCAGACCAAAAACATGGAAAAAAATAAATTTAATGAAAAAGGGTGAAAGCACAGGACAAAAATAGAAAAATAATTGAGGGGAAAAATAAAACAGAACAAACAAAATGACTAATGGAATGCTCTGAATTTTTTCATGCATCACTTGTTTGCATTTGAGCATGCTGAGAGAGCCGAACATTAAAAGATAATCTTCCAAAATTACCATATTTATTATACTCCCTGAGAATAACAAAAGGAATTTGAGGACTATGAAATGCAGGAAACGCCAAATTATTATTTCACAAAATGAATTCATCATTTAAGATACAATGCAATGAAAAATAAATCAAAATCTAACAAAAAATCTTGTCGGGACACCAACAGAACTCATCAAATAAGATCCAGAGGCTATTTTTCGAGTGTTCTTTGCTGACTGAAAAGAGATTCAGCTCAGTGAACATTTGGAGCTGACTGGACCCCCATAGAAAGTTCAATCACATGCCAACAGCCAATTAGCCCAGTGCTCTCCGCAGCTTACTGCGTTAACCTTATTAACATGTAAAAATGTAGGCTCAACAGGTCTTAAATGTGTAGTTACCCTTAACAACGTATACATAACCAAATACATTTCATGATTTTACACCATGTCCTAAACAGATGTGACACAACATGTAGGTTTTCAGGGAGTTTGTCAGCAAAATGCTGTGCGATGCCACATGATAACAGTCAGTAAAAACATATCTTATATTTAATATAGAATTATGCAAACCGGCACTGTGGACCAATGACATTTCAATCTGATAGTGAAGAAGCCAAATGGCCGAGACATTTTCCTGTTGACCACTGTGTGCCAAATCTCAGCCAAAAAAAAAAAAAAAAAAGTATAAGTACACAGTCAAATTAATAAACATCAAGGTTATTATTTAATTTAAGACCTGAGATAAATTGTACATTGCCACTGTCTCTTAAAGTTATGCAAAAACAATCTTCAAAGTTAAACAACTCTACTATTGTAAAAAACACAAGTACCTGAGAGTTATTGAACTCTCAACCATGACATTGCAGAAACAGAAACCGTTCCAAAAATAGAATCCACTGTTGCTTATCGCATATCACGATCACGACTGGTTAAGGGCAACAATTCTGACTAACATGGAAAAGATAAATTTTATCGTGAAATTTGTTGTGTCCAGTTAGGACACTGTATTATGCTTTCACACTAAAAAAAAAAAAACATTGTTTCTGCCGTGTAACTAAACAGATTTCTGGTTACTACATTGAGTATTGCTTCTAATAATGTTCAGAAATGGTTATCGGAGTGAGCTATTGAGAACTTGTACAAAGTTGACTATTGTGAAATCCAATATACATGTGGAAGGGGTGAGCAATTTACTTTATTACGTTGTCAGGTCATTAAAGAACAATTTTGCAGATTTTCAACCAGCTTTACACTGTTACAATGTCGCTAGTAAATCTAGACTTTTGCCCGCAAATAAACATTTAGATACATATACTACCAACACTGTAACAATACAACGCTGGTTGAAAAACCCTTAGGTTTTTCCTTAGGTTACCCTTTAAGACCTAGCCTATATTCGAAAAGGTTCACTGTCCATTTTCACTTTCCTTATGACTTGTGCTGTGAAATATGTCTTACTCATTCGATAAACTGGCTAAACTAGGTTACCCTGAAGTCGTGATGATGCAGCTTTGAATAACCAACTTGACGCCTTTGTGATAGGTCACAATCGGTCACATTTACAAAGACAAAACCTAAAATTCCTTTCATTCGAAAAGTCATTTGCATATCAATGAGTAATTGATCTTTTACGCAGATATGTACTGAAATATTTACCCCTGGTTAAACAGGTTTTGTTTCAGTGCTAATTAAACTGTTCATCTCATTTCCAGCCGAGCATTGTGTGATGCTTCTAACAGCCTAACAATGGCATCCCGCAGAGAAACGACGTCAAGACCAAACACTTTTCCATACCCTGTCGCACAGTTTCCACCTTGTTCTCCATGGAAGTGATAATGACAGGATGAAATCTGCAGCACTATTATAACACATCCTAACTTTTCTGAAGTGTTTGAAATGTGTTTTGGTACTTGAAAATATGATAAGCAGACTGTGATAATCAGAAAACACTATTCCTGTAAATATAAAGGCACAAAAGACATTAAGGATGTGCAAATAATGTCAAAATTGGCAGACTTGTGGCTTATGTTGAATGATATGAATATAAAACATATA